GTCATCACCCGTGAGATCTTGGTGCACGCGAAGCTGTTCCGGCCCTACAACATAGTTGGCAGTTTTCGCGCGTTAACCGGTGCACACACCAAGTGGCCACCAATGAAAGAGAGAGAGAGAGAGGGGAGAGCGGAGGTGTCAATGGTAGGTACCAGGCAGAGGTTGGACAGCAGCTTGACAGTCCTGATGTAAAGTAAATCTGCTTGTCGTCGCGCTTCTCGCCCTCGAGTGCATATGAACTCCTCGATGGGCATCCACGGTTCACGGCTGGAAGGCTGCACCATGACCTCGCCCGTCTCTTCGATCATCTGCCATTCGCGATCGGGCACAATGAGTTGTGTGTGTCGTGTCGTTGGTCGCGTCGCGTCGTTGGTCGCGTCGTGTCGTTGGTCGTTGGTTGTGTTGTTGGTCGTGTTGGTGTTACCTTGATGCTGATGAGCAGGTCGTGGTTCTCGACGATGAGCCGCTCGCAGATAAAGTTCCCGGTTCTTCGTGAGGGGCTCGTCGCTGCCGCAACGACACAGGATGGACAGGAACTTGACTTGTAGCTCGACTCAGGGAGGGAACGCAATAACGATGAGGGAGAAGGAGGAAGAGGGGGGGGAGGAGAAATGTGCGTACCACCTTTGCTGCGGAGGCTGTTGTTGTTGTTGTTGGCGACCTCCCCCCCCCCCTTAATCGCACGCTGCGTTCGGGGTGCGATTAGAGGGTGCTCCGAGTGAAAAAGGAAAGGAAACAGGAAGGAAAGAGAGCAGAGAGAGCAGGGAATAAGACCTTTCCACGGCCCGCGATCGATGAGGGCCGAGCCTCAAGGCGCCTCGGACCCCCACTCACGAGCGCTCCGGTCGGCCGACCCCAAGAACAAAACCCGCTGCACAACCCCTAGAGCAGGGAATAAGATCTGATCTGACGCGATCCCTTAAAAGGGTGGTTTGGTACGGTTTCGTTCCCACGCCGCCCGCAGAGGGGGGGGGTAAAGTAGGGCAGGAATGTTGCGCCTCGCTGACGTGGCATTTTTGGCCATTTTAATAATAATAATAATAATAATAATTCGACCCTTTTTTGGGCTCTTTTTCTTGGTGGAAACGTCGCCTTACCAAAATAATAAACGCGCTGCGCGCGCGCTTTTTTCTATTCTCGGTGTTCCGCCCCGGCGTGGTCTTCGCATTTTATTCTCGTCGTCGTCGTCACGACTGATGATTGATTCTTCTATTGGTAGTACCAACGTGGTAACAACTAGATGATTTTGTTGGCGCATTACCAGCGCGCTGTGAGATCCAGCAGAAGATGCGGGTTTTCCGAATGGCCGGCGCTATCAATGGCCGACGACGACAACAACAAGATGATTAGCGCATTATATATCCCATCAACCCACGAGTGGCGCGCACGCTGTGAGATCCAGCAGAAGATGCGTTTTGGCGACCCTCTATAATGGAGGACGACGACAACAACAAAAGTATGTTTTTTTGCTCATCTCTCTCTCCTCAAACGTCAACAACAAATAAATACATATATATATATATATACTTCTATCCATCTACGCCCAATTGGGGAGGCCTCGCCCCCCTCCTCCTCCTCCTCCTCCTACAGCTACCCTCCGTGTACTCTCCACCCTCGCCAACTTGGCGTGCGTCGCCCGTTGAGTGGTGGTGGTGGTGGTGGTTGGTCTCGTGGTAGTGCTTCATCCCTCCGCCGCAAGGCACTCACACGTTTCTTCTTCTTCGTCGTCGTCGTCATCGTCTTCTTCCTGTTCTTGTTCTTCCCCAGAGTTCGTAGACGCGGCGGGGCTTGTTCCAATGTACATCAATCCCCCCCCCCCGGCTCCTCCTTGCCCTCTCGCACGCACACGCGCTCTTTCAGCGTTTTTCTCCTTCTCTCGTGTTGCGTGTCGCGTGTCGCGTGTGTATTGGATGTTTCGCTTGTCGCGTGTGGTCGTGTTCTTGGTCGAATCGTTGGTTGTCTGTGTTGGATGTGTCGTGTGGTGTGTTGTTGGTCGTGTTGTGTTGTGTCGTTGGTCGTGTTGTGTCGTTGGTCGTGGCGTGTCGTGTCGTGGGTCGTGGGTCGTTGGGGTCATGTCGTGTTGTGTCAGGCACTGACGGCGTTTGAGTTCTTCTGCTCAGGCGACGCGGAGATGGCGGTGCGGCAGCACGACCGCAAGACCGAGGCGGAGGAGCTCAGCAAGACGCTTGCCGCGCAGCTCGATATCAAGGACCTCAACATCACCGCGCTCCGCGAGAGCAACAAGGCCAAGGTACACCCCTCGTTTCCCCACCCCCCCCACTGTGTGTCGTGTGTGTGCGTCGTGTGGCGTGTCATTGGTCATGTTTCACTTGCCG